GGGCCTCCAGGCCAGTCTGTTGGACCACAGGCATTTATACTTGCCAGACACAAATACCACCAGAGAGAAAACTCTTATAAATGCTTTAACTATGGACATTTTATCTGTGTTATAGCCTTAAACAATAAAAAGGTCTGCTTGGTAATTTAGCAGAGCTGAGTGCATTAGCTCCATTTTCTACAGCCATTCCAACAGAAAAAAAGGGTAACAAAATGCTATTGCGCTCTAACAAATGACTTAATTCCCTATTAATTTAATCTGAATTTTTTTCTTCATTTTTCTTCATAACTACCAATCAATTGTTCATGCTATCTTTTGTTGTAAAAACATACAATGGTTGGGGAAAATTGTGACAAATATAGAAATATCAACTCAGTATATCTTCTCACATAAGATCAAGTAGGAATATAATTGCTTTAATATATATATATATTTTTTAAATTTCTGTATTATTGACACCTTTTATGCTACTGATTATATTAGCTTTCAGGAATAAATGTGATTAAAGCAAAAGTCTATGAGGGACTAACATTATCTGAAGTTTATATATACAGCAATTTTTAATTCATAACGAGTGTGGCGATTGCCTCGACTTCCATGATGAAACCATTACTGGCAGTTACCAAGCAACATATGAGCATTTGCCATTTATGTTAACCTGTAACCAATAACATGTCATGGAGATAAAATAAAGTTTAAATGCAAAGGCATCACAACTTTAGATTTTGGACATTAAAAGGCTTTTTTCCATACAGTAAGTTAACCCTTCTTTTTTTTCTCTCATGAAAAGTGAGAACATTACTGAGGATTTACTTAATAAGTCAATTTAGTTGCTCTCTCTTACTTTCTAAATTGGACAAGAGGCACAAATACAAAACATTGCAATACAAGAATGTGTTTCCAAACCTTAAGCGCATCCAATTGAGAGCATCTCAATTATGCTCAGAATGAACTCTCTCTCAGAATAGAATAATCTCTCAAACATGAGAAAAAGGGGATTGGAAAAGGTCAGAGAAACAGAGAGGACAAAAGAAAGCTTAGGTCAGAAAAAAACATGAACACCCCTCAAAGTTTTGACATCAAACAGAACAAAACCCACCCTAATCCCAAACAATACAAAAGTGCATTATAAGACAACAGCTGCTTAAAAGTAACTTGGGAGTTTATGACATTAGCCTGCTAAAAATGACTCACTTATGACATCACCGTGCTCAAAGACTGGCTTCTAGAGTAAGGTCTGATTAACAGACACCAGGTGGTGACATCACCCACTACGGCTGATTCTTCGGGATAATGACCTGCGTGATACATTAACCTACAAACGTCCATTTGGATTAGTGTAGTCACGCTTGCCAGTTGTCATGTGATCTATCACGCACGCCTGATCCACCATGCCAGCTGGTAGGCAATGGTGAGACTGTCTCTAGCCACTATCCATTACAGAGTGATTCAAAAGGTGTCACAGAGATATTCTGGGAAAAGTAAAATTACTCAGTTCTGTGAATTCTTACAAACACCAGACTGAAATCATCTTTTCAAATGGGACTAGATTAGAAAACATTCTTACGGTTAAAAAAGCCTCTCAAGCTCTAGCAGAAGCAATAAGTAATCGTTTTCTGCTTTAGTAGGTCGATGAGACTTGGCTTAGCTTCTTTAACTTAAAACTCCTAATTGGCTGTCAGGACCCGTGGTAGTGGGAAGATAAGCATAAATGATAGTGGCCCCAGGCTCATGACACAAGCCCAGCCTTCATGAACACCATCATCCCTCCGGTGTAATATAACGAGGCAGGGTTTCCACATATAGCCCCACATTATTTCCACTAAGATTACTCACGGCCACATACATCTAGTGCTGTATTACTGACCACTTGTCGGGTGGACGCTTGGGCTCTTGAGTTCTCGGGTTCACTTCTAGGAGACACTACAGTTTTTGCATCATTACAAGTGACTGACACTCCTCTTTGACCCAAACCTAAGTCCACAACTGTATAAAATCACATCAAATAACCTGGCACAGGCTTCCAGAAACCAATTCAGATAAAAAAAACCTAGGTGAGTAACCCGAAAGGCTGTAGGTTCAAACCCTATGAACTTTCACCCAAGCTTACTACAATCAGACAGTCCCTGTTCACCAATTTACCAGTTTTCTTATTAGACTGAAATGCAGTTTGGTAATTCAGCATCTAGGCTGGTAACCGGAAGGTTGCCGGTTCGAATCCATGAATTATCACCATCACCGCAGGTTTAGAAATTACATAAGCGTTATCACTTACCAATTGCATGCCGCATATAAATGCCAGCGTGCATCTACCACTGCAACAGCCCATCTTGCCCTCCTTCGAGTCCGTGTTTCCACGTGGGTCGCTGTAACTCCACAAGATAACGCCGAGGCAACGGGTTTAAATGGGTCTTTCTTCACTCCAAAGGCGATAGACGCGAATCAAATACGCCCTTCCGATAAAAGCGCTCCACAATGTAGGAAGAAGATATGAAGAAAACTGCACGTGTTTGTTAGAAAAGTAGAATTGAGCTGTAATGCAAAGTCAAAGAGATACGAACAACACTTCTCTAAGTTAGTGGAGAAATAACGGTAGCTCCAAATCCAGCACTGAAAGACATGTCAATGTGATCTTCCACGGGTCCGTGTCTGAGAAACAAAGCCACCCAGTGTTGTTTACGCTCTCATTGCTCCTCCCTCGCGAGAAAGAAACCGAATTAACACATTTTAAGCAGCAATGATTTGCTTTATTTCTCTGGAAGCCGCAGCGCGCGTGTTTAGTAGTACAAGCAGGAAATCCACGGGATGGTGATACGAGGACAATAATCCAAGCGCGCGTCCTGTATGAGCCTTTCAGTGTCTTCTCGGGTCCCTCAACTACTATTGGTCCCTTCCAGAGTTAACTTGCACGGTGTAGAGGAGGACAAAGAAGCGGTGCATCTTGCACCATCTGACACTCCAGATTGAATGAAGCGCACGCGGTGCTGCTCTCCGAGGGGATGCGACTCGGTTTGTTTCTCACGCAGCGGCTGGTGCTGATGCTGTACAGAGCGCAGATGAGGACCTGGACGTCCCTCAATGCACCGGATGAGCTCTCTGCTCCCTCTCTCAGTGGGCGTGAGAGCAACACGATAGGGAAATAATGACTGTGTGGTGTTGGGGGGGGAAGATGCATATATATATATATAATATAACGGGCTGTAATTGCTTCATTCGCCATCAGGAAATTCCAGGTCTGAATTTAAACGACTCCTTCAAAGTCTAAAATGAAAAGAAATGCTCTTGTTTGCAATGTAACAAGTCGTTTCATAAGCTTCCATTATTGTAGTTGAAAGGCTCTTTTGAAGAGACTTTTTCTGCAGCACCGTTTTGGCTGCTTATGAAGGGATTTATTTCGCGATAACTGACTGCCCCGCGTATTGGCCACTCACAATATAATAATAATAAAATAGACACACATAAAATATTAATTTAAGATGAAATAACTTTATAATTTTAGCTATATATATTAGCTTCCGCAAAAGAAAAAAATATAGTCCACTACACAAGAATCTGCTATAGCAACAAGACTGAACACTAGGCGCGATCACTCTTATCAGTTATTTTAATAATAGGCTACCTAAATCCTCCGAGGTTATTTTCAGTAGGCTACAGTCGATAACTGAGGCGCAATATTTTGTTTTTATCAAACGATACGAGTCCGCGGTGTGATACGAGACATTAAAGTATTTCCAAATATCTGACCGCTGAATGCCGCGATTGACCAATCTGAATAAAGTATTCCATAGAGCCGTGTAATAATGTGCAATACATTCTTCACATATATGCATAGGCGGAGTGTGAACCAACTCCAGGGTAAGGCTAAAAGCAGCCAAATATATTAAACATCATAAACCCGTCTTTTTAGGCAAAAAAAAAACAAACAGACATGGGTGTCATGTAGGCTAAAAAAATTGTTTAGTGGGACTGAATTTGTATTTAACGTGATTACAATTTAATAAAAACGTTAGAAATTGATAATTATATAATGCAGGGGTACTCAAGTTCAAAGGCCACGCGGGCCGCATTTAAACTAGCCTACATAATATGCGAAGGGCCACAAATTACAATTTGCATCATCAGACTTTATTTAAGACAATATTTGCAGATTTACTGATTTAGAAATACAGTTTATTACTTATTTAAGTCTTGCTTGTCCTATTTAAAATAACAGAGCATGAATGTGTGTGTGTGTGTGTGTGTGTGTTGAGTTGCCTACCCCTGATATACGTTTCCTTTCCAGGGATATTCAAACAGCGAATAAATTATATATAGAAAGTGACATTATCACTAACATTGATCTATCAGGAGTTTAAGCACTCTCAAAAAAAAAAAAAACTATCATTATAATCACTGAAGCTGTACACACCGTGAAAAGAATCTCTTACTTACATTGTATGTACATCTGCTTTGTTGTTTATGATGAGAGAATTCGCAAGAGTCCGGAATTCAGTCAGCGAACGCACGCGCACTCAACAAAACTGATGAGTTTCAACGATGACTCACCTGAACGCTTCTGATTGGCCATTGCATTCCTAAGCTCAACAGAACTGTGTGTGATTGGTTAAAATGCGCAACACTGTAAAAACGCCTAAAATGAAATACGGAGCAACATGAGCAGATCTGAATTTTTATGCCGCAATCGACAATGTCTATTCATATTCCCTTTGTTAGCAACAGACATAATAGATTTAATTTGTGTGTGCAGGGGCATTTTTGTCCAATTTAGTGGCATTTTTGACCCAAGTCCCCATGGCCAGGGGAAGGCTAGCCTTCATATAGTAGCCTATAGCCTATACTATATATAGTAGTATAGTAGCCTATAGCCTACTTTTAATGCTGGTGCAATGCAATCTCTAATGGTCGACTTAAACACAAACACAAGCCCACACCCACAAAGAAATATACACACAATCAGTCTCTCTATCAATATTTATGATATGCTTTAATTTTCCCAGCAATCTTGAGCAGCAGTAGCATGTATTTACTTTCCGTTTTCCAGAGGTAATGACTTCAGGCAAAATTGCAGACCCCTCCTTCCTGTCATGCTTGTCCTCTGGTCCAGTTCAGTCTTGGATTCATTTCACTTGTACCTGGGAAAGCGATAGAATTAGAGATAGTGTGTTATGTTTGTGTGAATGTTCCATGCCACATGACTTATCTGAGTTTTCCAGCCATCATGTCTGGTCCTCGCATTTGCCAAGTTTTCACAATGTCCAAGCAAGCAAACTGTTATAAACAAATCCGGTGGAAATTTAAGCCATTAACCTCAACACATGAAAAAATTGAAAAAAAAAAAAAAAACACAACTTTTTTTAAACATGCCATGTATATAGTATTTTGTTTTCTTGCATTCATTTGTATACTTTGTTCCCTTAAAAGTCATTATAACTCTTTGAGACATAGCTGTCTTTGATTCAGATCTATGATTTGATTTGATTTAATTCATGTCACAAAATTTTTGTTATCCGCCTGAAAGTGTCACAGTTTGTATCTGATAGCTTTCTCAAATCTTAATCTAGATTGGGCAAACTGGGGCAAACCATTAAAGAATATGAAATTATGGAGGACTGCGCATTTGTAGCAGCTGTATGGGAAGATATCGATCCTTTAAAAATTCATGAGCTACTGCAGAGCCCCTGACTTCTATCACTTTAAATTGGACACCAGACAGATGCACTTTCCTGCTTTGTGCTTTAGTGAGGTTGAACTTTGGGTTCTCCTGAATGTTTTATTTGATCTGCTCTTATTCCATCAGCATGCCATCATAGGATTTTCATCCACCTAACAATGAAAAATCTCATTGACAGGCTTAACTCTGGTTGTAAAAGCTGCATTGTATCATTTAAATAAAACAATTGTTATTACACAGATTTACAAGGCTGATATGACAGTTGCTGTGGCTTTGAATGCCGACTTCACCGCAAAACACCATATGGTAATTTGTGCAGTTGTGTCACTACATCTCTTAGCTAAATTTCAAGTAACTTTGTAGCAGTTTTAATCGCAATATTATCATTTGTTCACCGAGATGGAATTCTTGTAAGATTTGTGACATGAGAGCAGATGGTTGCCACGCTAAATATATGTTTTTCTGTGTTGCAATGGGTTCAGCTAAGGGCTAAAGACATTTACAAAACATTATATACATTTATTCATGTAGAAGATGCTTTAATAAAATATATATATATATATATATATATAGCCTATAGCAATTTTTATTTACAAAAAAAAAGTTACTTCTGGAGAGACACATCCCACAACTGTATTTATTTATTTATTTTGTCCTTGCCCTTGAACACCCATTCTGCAGGCTTGTATATTACCTCAAGTAACTCTATTTGTCACACACTGCAACAATGGGTATGCGTGATTGCAGCGAGGTACAGTACATTAGAGGTAATTAGTCCACAAAGCCAGTGTTAACAAACAGTAGCAGTCTTGCTTTACGCTACCTGTCGGTATGTCTTAATAAGTGTAACACTGAGAGCTGATTACATAAGCTCCAATAATGAGGTGTTCAATAACAGCCTGCAGAAGGGCTGTTCAATTAATTTTTTAATAAGCCAATGATTGGCCCCTCTGGGTGTTTCAGTGCCCCCTTGTGGATGTGGAACAACATTTTTGCATGCTTTTTTACAACTCTGCATTAAGCACTGCCATCTATTATTATATTTCAGTGCTGTCAAATGCCAATTAAAATGTGCTGATTATATTATTTTGCATTAAAATGCTTACTTTAAAGCTTAACGTCCATTTGGGCCAGAATTCCACATGCTCCTTTTTGAAAATAATACACGCAATTATCCAAACGTGCAGACAGTAAAGTTTGAAACCGCAATGAAGGAGCATAATTAAAAGTTATTTTCACACATGCACCACAGATTAATCGTGTTCACCACACAAAGAGTGTCTTGGCATCACACAATGACTGCTGCTGTGTTAGGGAAACCACAGCGCTTTCGCAGCTCACTGCCAGTTTTAATCATTCAAAACCTGCATTCCAGAAGGCCATCAGATATTGATGATAATTTCCTGCCCCCAGTTTGTTTGTTGCTCTGCGACAGACTGTTTGATCAAAGTTTGCAAGTGATGCAAGTTGCTGTTTATGTGAAGAAATCCACAGAGCAGACAAGAGGTGAAAAACTCTCAAAAACTGAATAGTTCATTCTAAAATGAGAATTCTGTCATTTACTCAAGAAACAATTTTCTCTGAGAAATTGCTGGTAATAATTACAAGGCAATTACACAAACATTGAATTAAATGTGAAATTCTGAAGTAGAAAAACTTAAATAATATTTTCTTATAAAACATACTCAAATAAATCATTTTATTTACAATTTAGAAATTTTTTTTTCTTTCAGTTTTTCTACCTCTTTCAATAAATCAACAGCTCAAAGTGACCAGGTGCTGTAAAGCTACAAAAAGAAAAGCATCATAAAGGTGGTTCATTGGACTCTTGCACTTTATTCCAAGCACACAAGTAAACCTGCAAACCACTTTCATGATGAATCTTTAGGCAATTTTTAATCATTTTTGTATTAACTATAATTTTATGGCAAAAACTGCACTACAATTGTTCAAATGTTCAACTTCTATGTTCCTACAAGAAAAAAAATGCATATGGGTTCAGAACAATGTGAGTTTGGTAAATACACTTGAAAAAAAGGTGTAGGATTTACTTTGAAACAATTTTCACTACGACATTTACAAGTTACACATTGAACTAAACATCACATTTTTAATTTGAAAGACTGAAATAATATTTTCTTGTAAAACGCACTCCAATAATCTTCACTTACTACTTCAAAAAATATTTGTTTACAGTGTAATGACAAAATTGTCAGTCTAAACAACCACAGTGCAATTCACTCAACTTTCAATTCGTATTTGTTAAGTGTTTGCCTTACAAACACAGCTAACCATCAGCCCAGACATTACACATTACCACCGAATAAGCCCGTTTGCACAACCTCTGTAATTATCCTACACATTTACCTAGTGTTTTTCAGCACATTTTCTATCCTGAGGCCTCCACATCTGCTTCTATTGATAGCTGCCAGCGAGCTCTGCTAGCAGCCAGTGAACTTGAGAGAGATTGCTTGAACTTTCATTGTAACGCTCTTAGTGGCACCTTTTAGCAGAAAGCTCTGAAAACGAATGAATGCCAGAAGAGTGTCTGCAATGCAGGGTTTTTAATTGATGGTACGGTATCTGAACAAAGAAAGTGCGGCAGGCAGGGCCACAGCTGTGCTGCGATGCGGCTCCATTCAGGTGTCCGGCGTACCTTCCTTGAGTGGGAATCAGTGATGCATTGGGTTGCCCATCTCAGCACTTTAATATGGGATGTTGCAGCCCTGTCAACTCTAATTACACATGAACACATCCAACAGTATTGGGCCACATTCATTTCAGAGGGATATGCTGCCAAAGAGCATGTCGCATGGCCAAATCTTTATACAACTCCAATAATATTGTGGACTTTACAATGATGGAACGTTTGCAATTTAGCCAGCAGGAGCAATCCCAGCTGAGTCACTATCAATATCCGGCTAGCTTTTAGGATGGGCTTTTATGGATTGGTGCTGTGGATGAGACCAGCATTACTAGGTTGAAAGAAACTCAGAGAAAGGATAAAAAATGTTACCTTCTTTTATTAAACGTCATTCACCACAACCTGATTACTTAAACTGCTCTATGATTATGACTAAAGGACTGTAGCTGAGCCTGTAACAGTCTTCCCAATTATATTATGGTAATATGGGTGAAATTTGGGCCACAAAACTTCATAAAAATCCACTTATGTCACGAATCCGGTTCATGCACTTTCGTCCACTTTATCTTCCATTTTTATGACTCTCTCACTACACAGACTTTCACATGTCACCCCGGACTACATTTCCCAGCAGCCATTTCACTAATCACACGTTCACCTGAAACCAATCACACACACCATATAACACACACTCAGATCCTGTTCAAACTGCAGAGTATTGTTTAAGCATTTATGCTGTTTAGCGTAGCTACTTTACGGAGCCAGTTCCCTGTCCTTGTTTAAGTTTCTAGTTCTAGTTTCCTTAGCCTAGTCAAAGTCTTGCCTTGCCTGTTTTCTGATCTTCTGCCTGTGTATCTTGGATTAACCCTTTGCCTTGCTGTTTCGGACTGTGTTTGCACCTCACCTGGACTATTTCTCATTTTATTGGATTACCCCTCTTGTCAAGCTCTTTGGATTATGTTCGCTGTTGATCGACCTACGCCTGTTAATCGGATTACTCTTGTGTCTTGCCCTCAATATACCATTTGCCATTGTCTGACCATCACCTGTTTCTGACAATTCTAATGAATAAAGCTTTGCAAATGGATCCGCACGTCTCGCGTCCCTGTTGCCCCGTTACAGAATATTCAGCCACACAAGGATTCAGCAGCTGTTCAAATGGACACTGGCCAGGTATGGACACTACAAGAATATTATTAGCCCTTAAACAAAAGTTTTTCTGTGATGGCACTAATCAACCTCTTCAGTCTAAGCTAAAACGCGAGGGTCCGCATTCGTCACTCAGCAACGAATGCGACTGTTGGCTCTCTATTTACTGTGGGTGTCGTCAAGTCACAGCTGCCAATCTTGAATCAAGTCATGTCACATTTGATCATCATGAGTCAATTCAAGTCACAGTTGATCGTCATGAGTCAAGTCAAGTCACCGCTGATCTTCCTGAGTCAAGTCAAGTCACCACTGATCTTCCTGAGTCAAGTCAAGTCATAGCTGATCTTCCTGAGTCAAGTCAAGTCACAGCTGATCTTCCTGAGTCAAGTCAAGTCACAGCTTCCATTCCTGAGTAGAGTCAAGTCACAGCTTCCATTCCTGAGTAGAGTCAAGTCTCAGCTGATCTTCCTGAGTCAAGTCAAGTCACAGCTGATCTTCCTGAGTCAAGTCAAGTCACAGCTGATCTTTCTGAGTCAAGTCAAGTCTCAGCTGTTCGTCCAGAGTCTTGTCACATCACAGCTGATCATCCAGAGCCTTGTTGCCTCCTATCTGTTGCACCCAGATCTTCGAGGTCAGTTTTTCAGTCTCCCAGACTGGCATCCAGCATG